TAGTCTTTTTCTCATATTTTTCTTCACACCGAGACGGTGTGAAATAAGTTTGGGGGAGAGACTAACCATCTAACATTGTGTTCTATTTTGATTTCATCCTTTTGAGTCTTGCATTGTCAATAGCTATGGTTTGAGAAAAAAATCAAAAAAATTTGAAAATTTTGAAAAATCCAAAAAGAATCATGTAGCTTTGCATATTCATTTTTTTTTTGTTCTAATATTGAGTCTAGAAGCATTTAGTTGCATTTGCATATGCATAGGGGTTAATGATTCAATTACCTTATAGAAATTCAAGCTTAGGATTGAACTTAAAGCCCTTAATCATAGTTAATCGTTGCTTGATCATCTAAGAAAAAATGGAAAATTCATACTTAGACCTTTGCATTTTTCAAAAGCAATTTCTACTTGTGTGAAGCTTACATGACTTTGAAACATCTCTATGAATTTGAACTTAATTTGATTTTAATCTTCTCGCTCATGGATTTTAAATGCATTCTCATGGTTGTCTAAAAGACTCATTCGGGTTTTCTTATCCACTTTGCCACTCTTTTGTAAACCTGAATGGCCATTCTCACCTTTAGAATGGTTTCCCTACCCTTAACCTCAAACCTTTTCTTTCAAACCTATGATTGATTGTGAGTGAGGCCTCTTGTTTGAAAATGCTATAGATTTTGAAACCTTGAGAGTATTGAGAACGACAAAGTTTTTGCTCTTGTTTTAGCTAGCTTTTTGAACACCTTTGACTAGCTAATAGGTTGGGAATGAAAGAGTTGGGTGGTTAGATTGAATATTTGGGATTGGGTTTGGGAAAAAGGAAGAAAGAAAAATGAAAAGAAAGGTTTGACCATGCAAATAAAGAGTTCCTAGGGAATAAAGTTAAAATAAAAGCTCTAAGTCTCTAAATTAAAAGAGAAAGAAAAGTGTGAAGTTAGTTCCCCAAAAGAAAAAGAAATTTACAAGGTTATAAGTAATGGGAGCAAAGAAAAACAAAGTAAAGAGATAGAAAAGAGCTAAGTATTTAAGAGAAATTTTCCCTAGGTGACTACAAAAAGAAAGTGATCTTGAGGTTGGTGATTTAAAAAGGCCAAAGTGTCTAGTGTTTGGGGTAGAAAAGAAGAGGAAAAGAATCCGCAAAGAGAGTAGAAATAGGAGTTTACATCTTAGGCGGGTAGAACAACAAGAGCTTAACTTTGTATACATAAATTGTTCTTGGTCTTAGATGGATTTCATGATTGTCTAGCATTCCTTTTCTTGAGAGAAAGCCACCAAAGTATGAATCTTTTGAAACCACCTCCAAAAACCTTTACCAAAACCGATTAAGAATGATTTACTTTCCATTTGCGAGACCGCGCCAAACACTTGAATGAATGTTAAAGAGATGTTTCAATTTGATTGTGAGTCTTTACTAATAGTTAGAAATTGAAATAGAATCATGCATTGAAATGAGTATGGAAAAGTACGAAAGAGTATGATGATTGACTCAAGCAAATTTGAACTATTTTTAAGGACTTTGAGTTGAATCCTTTGTTTGATATTTTGTGGCTATGAATCCCCACTTTCAAACTTCTTTTCCATCTTATTTCTTAGCCCTTGCTTGAGGACTAGCAAGAGATAAGTTTGGGGGAGTTGATATCTTGTGTTTTTGCTCCTTTTTAAGCTTTGTTTCTCTTGGTTTTTCATCATTTTGCATTCTTTTTTAGGTTCTTAGGTGCATATTTCCATAGCATTTCTTACTTTTAGGTTCTTGGAGTGGAGCATTGAGTTTTAGAAGCAAATGGCGTTAAAAGAAGTGAAGAATCAAAGAATCAAGAGGAGGATGAAAGCAATAGAGCAGTTGGTCGATTGACTGGTCGATTGGGACCAAACCAGACCCGCGGACGAGAAGGAATCGAGGAAGCAGTCGACCAATTGGTCGATTGCTAGGTCGATTGACTGGTCGATTGCCTGGTCGATTGGGTACTTAAACCGGGTCAAAACCCGGTTTGTTCCGGGTTGACTCGGTTCGTTTTCTTTTCCTATAAATGTGTCTAAACCTAATTTCTAGATTTCTTATGCTACCTAAGCCTAGTTTTCTTAATTTCTCTTTGTAATCAAGTTCAAACCTTTGTGATTCTTGCTTTTATATAAGTATTTCTTTAGATTCAACTTCTATCTATCTCTTATACTCTTCTTCTAACATAAATCTTCAAGGATTAGTGTCAACTCCTTGGATTTTCATGGCTTTAAGTGAGTAGTCTTCTTAGAGCTTTTGGGTCAAGTAGATTAGGGTGGTTAGGTGATGATTTGTGATGCTTAAGACTTAGTCTTAATATATCCTTACTCTCTAGGTGCTCTTAGTGCTAGATTAGTCTTGATTAAGCTAGTCTAGATCATAGGAAGTTTCATGCCCGGAAGGTGTTCGATGAAATTCCCGAAAGAACTTAGTGAGTGCTTAGCATTCCTAGCCAATGGAAATTGATGATTAGGGTGCTAGGTGGTTAGTTAGGCTTGAAATTAATGCGTATTAGTCTTGTGATTGCCAATGGAAATTGATGTTAATTGCTTGATTAGTGTAGAGTTATTGCCATGGAAGTGGATTAGCTTAAATTAGTGATCTTAGACCTAAGGATTAGCAAATGATTGATTGTATTAGCATCATAGACTATCCTTTGACCACCCAAGTCAATAACCTTAACCCAAAGGCTTATTCATTTAGTATTTTCGTCTTTGACTTTTTGTTGACTTTCGTTGACTTTTTGTTGACTTTTATAAATTGCATCTTTCTCATTTATTTTGTTATTGCTTTATGTTTATGGGTTATTGCTTAGCTTAGACACTTGTTTAGCTTTGTCAATTGCTTTTGGTTTGTTTATTTCATTTGCATTTTAGTTCCTTTCGTTTTCATTTCATTTAGGTTGTTAGTTTAAAACCAATCCTATATTTGCTTAGATTAAGAAATTTTGTGTATTCTTAGGAAGGGTTATTGGTTCATAGATTTATATGGAATTAGAAATCCAAACAAAAATCATTTGTTATTCAATCATTGATTTTAAAATCCTAATTAAATTCATGTGTTATTGGTTCTATGATTTATAAATACTAGTTAAAATCTTATGTTATTCGTTTAGTCATTTGTTTTTGGATTTGAGAATCCAAATTATGTTTTAAATGGAATTGAATGGAATTGAAAGAGAAAAATAGAAGGATTCAAATCCATGGGTAAACACATGTTATTTCAAAATCCATATATCTTGATTTCATAATTAATAGAAATTTTCAAATTCTATATGGATTTACAAATTAACAAACTAATAACACCTTAGTGTATTATATCTCTAGTTCCCTGTGGATTCGACCCTTAAGTGCTATAAACGATAACCATTAGATTGTGGTTTTTGGACCTTGAGGAAATATTAATTGATAGAAAAACCTCTTAATCACAAACACAGAAAAAAAGAAAATGTCGTGGATTTCATGGAAGAAGCTTACCAGATCTACACAAAATGGGGGCCTTGGTTTCAGAGATATCCAAAAATTCAATGATGCTATCTTAGCCAAGATTAGCTGGAGGCTACTTAATAACCCAAGTAGCCTTCTTGCTCGGGTCCTCTTGGGAAAATACAGTCACTCTTGCCATTTCCTTGATAGTACAGTACCCAAATCATCCTCCATAGCTGGAGAGGAATTTGTATTGGCAGAGACCTCCTTAAATCGCAACTGGGCAAGATGATTGGAGATGGAACCTCCACACCAATCTGGACTGAGCCTTGGATATCCCTTTCAAAACCTATCACTCCAATGGGACCAGCAACTGTCTCCACAGTGGCTTTTCAGGTTGTAAATCTTTTATTACCAGGAACCACTGTCTGGAACCAAGAGTTGATAAAGAAAATCTTCCCAGATCATGAAGAAGAGATTCTCTTACTGAAACCAAGCAAATTTGGAGCGCAGGACAAATGGGCTTGACTCCCAACTGATTCCGGCAACTACACATCCAAATCTGGATACTTTGAAGCACTGAAGTCTGATCCAAATCCTCAAGATAGAGATCCTTCGATCCTAGACTTCAATTGGAAAACAGATATATGGAGTTTGAAGAGTTCTCCCAAGACGAAACTTCTTATGTGGAAAGCTTTGCAAAACGCGCTACCCGTAGGAGAGAACTTGAAACATAGAAACATTAATACCTTAGCCCAATGCCCGCACTGTGGAGAAGACGAATCAATACTTCACCTATTTTTCTCTTGCAGATATGCTACACAAGTGTGGAACCTCCTCCCCTGCAAATCTTCCTTGAATTCCAGCCGTATAACCACCACCCGGGAAGGAATTGATGCATCAAAAGCTCTTATATTCCAACCTCCTACCGGTATTGGAGCTGGACGAATTGCTCCATGGATATTGTGGTCGATTTGGCATGCTAGGAACCAAAAGATTTTCAACCAAATGCAAATCCAACCACCGGACGTGATGCTACTAGCGATTTTAAGAGCAAAATAATGGCAATCTACTCAAACCGTCCCATCCCCATCTCCTCCGCCTTCGATCCGACCTCCATTGATGCAGCTCACGCCACAACTAATCATTTGTAACACGGATGCCGCTTGGAAACTCCAATTTCATTGCAGGATCTGGGTGGGTCTTCCACAGATCAGGGATTGAGCTCCTCCACGACTCAAAGGCAGATCTTCATGTCAGATCTCCTCTCATGGCTGAAGCAATGGCTTTGCTCCACGCCACCCGTCACGCAATCGAACTCGGCTTCCGCCAAATACATTTCGCTTCAGATTCGTCTCATCTTATCAAAGCACTCAATTTGGAGATTCAATAGAAAGAACTCCATAGGATTCATCACGATATCCTCTATCTATCTCTCAATTTTGATGTTGTTTCTTTTAATTTTACTCCCAGATCTTCAAATCTGGTCGCAGATGCTCTCGCGAAACAAGCACTATGTAATGCCTCAGCTTTCATTTAATGAAAAAGTCTCTTTCTGGCCAAAAAAAAAAAAAAAAATTCAACGATTATGAATAACCCAGAGAAATTTGATTAATTATTACCCTCAGATCAAGTGATCATTTAGTTGTTGATATCACAGGCTGTCTTCGTGGAGTTGTGTTGAAGCCGATTGTCTGTTCTCAAACCTCAGACGTTGAAGGTTTGCTTTTCACAATTTTGATGCTGCTTCTTCTTTCCTATTTGGTTTACTTCTTTGTATATTATGGCCATCTATCATTGTGTAAGATTCTGGAAAAGAATCCATATCATTGATACTTCTTTTGGTAAAAGATGATTAATTTAGTTGGTGTCTCTGTCTATATTTATAATGATTAGTGTTGCCAAAATTTCTTTACTAATCACAAAGCAAAGGGTGTCTGTGTCTTAAATGAAATTTCTACGATGCATGTACGTCACTTGCTCTATATGCTATGTTTGGTGATGATATATCACAGATCTAAGTACTTATACACGTTTTAATTTGGTACAATCCTTTTAAATTAAAACGGCAATGTTTCTTAGTCTTTAGAATGCTTTATATGGTTGTACAAATGAAACATTGATAACTGTTAAAAATCTGCAGACCAAGGATCAGTTGCATCCGTGGATTCTGAAGGAGGAAAGAGATTTGGTGTTGTATTTGGAGGTTCTCAGAGATATAAATTTAAAAGGTTAGTAAGATATTCAAGATAACACTTTTGATTAGGTGATAACAATATAGACCTACTGTATTGATTTTAGAAATACTAAGCATAGTTTGTGTCCACTTTCAAGATGGTACAAATAACGTTGCACTTAGCAACCTACACACATAGTTAAAAACATATTAGTTTAGGAATCTGAATATATAAATTGCTTTCAAAATATAGGGAAAGAGAGTTACATCAGTGGTTTCAAAAACTTCATAAATGGTTTTCCTGGGAAAACTTTTGAAATATTCTTCTTCTTAATGATTTTGGTATCCTTAGGCGTAACTTCCTGAATAGCAAGTGCAGGCACGTCTGCTGGCAAGCTGGAAATTGGCAAATAAGTGAAAATATAATCAATTACTTTTTAAAACATATATTAGGTTAAATGATTTTTTTCTTATTAACAAACTTACTTGTTCACAAATTCTTGAACAGCAGGATAGTTTGGATTGATTTCCGACAAAGACATGTCGAAGGCATTTGAAATTGATCTTTCGCCTATTGAATTTGGATGGTATTAGTATTAGATCTAGTAATAAACATATTAAGCATCCAAATCTAATAATATAAAACTATATACCTTTGAATGTACCAATTTTAGCAAGGCAAATCAAACAAATCACTCTCTCATTGCCTACATTTTGACATGCATCCAACATTCTCTCAGCAAATCTCCCCCAAAGAGTACATGTCAAGCGCTCATCACTGTAGAAAATAAATGAATTTAACCATGTTTATTATACAGTTTAATAGTATAGAGTAATATTTAAAAAATAAGAGAGTAAATAGTTCACAAAATGAATTTAACCATGTTTATTATACAGTTTAATAGACGATTTTCACTCGGATCTTCCATTGAGTTTTGAAAGGTTTGACTGCATTAAGTTCGGTGATGGGAAGAGCCATTGTTTGAGAGGTATAGAGGTGGTTTGATAGGTTATTGAGTATTGAGAATGTCGTTTGATTTCTATATTTATAAGGAATGGAGGACGTCTAGGGTTCTTCATATTAGAACGCAATAATATCTTTGCAAATCAATTATTTGAATAGATATTTTAGGTATATTCTTGATTTAAGAGGTTTTGAATATATTGTTTTGATTTAGTTTAGATATTTTGGTAACTATATAGTAACAAAATTTGTTGTGATATTAATTTGAATTCGAAATTAAAGGGATATGATTATTTAGGTATTATCTTGACTTATTTTTTTTGTAATTATGTTAGATTGCCAAATCGCAACGGAGAATATCAATCCAAATAAACCGTGATGCTCAATCCCAATCAACGGTGAGGATCAATCTAAGGAGTGGACGGGTCAAGTATAAGATCCGCGTGTGCCTTCTCAAGTTAGCCCATCAGTCTTTATAAATAACGGATCCAATAGCCCATGATCCATGGATCTTTGTTTATCAAATTATGCTTTTAACCTTCCATGTGTTTTTAAATTTAATCTTTGAATGTAATTCCTAATGGCAATCTTTGTAATTTTTTACACTTTATAAGGTTATTTAAGTTAGAATGATTCCCAATTAATAGTATAGATTCTTTAAGTAGGGTGAGGTAGGAAGCTAATGTTCTTAAAGTTGTCCGAATAAAGTAAGAGCATCTTATCACTCATTCCCAACTAGAAGAAATACAAATTATTTTTCTTAGAAAACAGATTGAAATTTTTTTTGTTTTTTATTATAAGATAACATACTAAAAAATTAGTAGTTAACTTTTGTTTTCTTTTTGGATCAACAACAAGTAGCTAATATGTTTGAAATTTTATATTTTAATGATAGGATATAAAAGTATGTGGACCTTTACAATATCACTAATTTGATTGAGAACTGACGTGGCACCAAAAAAAAACAACAAAGACATTTACACCAATGTAATCAACTGGAAGTAGTTAATATGTTCGAAATTTGATATTATAGTGATAGGATATAAGAGTATTCAAACGTTTAAAGTAACAGTAATTTGATTGAGAATCAATATGACACCAAAGAAGACAATGAAGATAGTTAGACCAATGTGATATGGCTTGAAGGAGGAAGTTAGTACATTTTGATATTTTAGTCTTTAAGTTTGAATTCATTTTAGATACTATCTATATTAGTATTTTTGAAATATATTTTTAGCGGGTGGGTTAAATTATTTTCGGACACAAATAGTATTCGACCCTTAAATATTTTACTTCATAAAAATTTGGTTGGATCGAGTTTTATTTAACCCAACTATTGCACCGGTATTTACCTAAAAGTCGGATACAAATATTACCAAAATTAGATCATGTCCATTAGTTACGTTTCTATATTTAATAATAAAAATATTTAGAAGATTTTTTCCTGATTTAAATTTCTGATTCTCTTTTCATTTGTTTGATTATATTTTTAGCTGTTTTGAATTATCATATAATACATAAAGTAAAAAAAGATCTCAATTTTTTTTTCTGCAAATATATTGTGATTCGAAATTTTAAAACAGACATATATTATACGGCATAATCAATAAAAAAAATTTTGATCATAAATTATTAAATTTTAAAAATCACTATTTTTAATAAATAAATCGGAAAAAGGGGATTTTCATACCTGTACTTTCTGCAAAGTGTATTTTCATACCTAGACAATTTCGTAGGGTAATTTACAACCCAAACTTCAAAATAATTTTAATCTCATACCTAATCTTTATAAAACGTGCAAAAATCATAGTCAATCTAACAGGTGTTAGTCAACACCGTTACGGTACTGAATCACCGTACATGTGTAAATCGTCATGTGGTGTACTGCAGATTAAAATCTAGTTGTATAATATAAATTATGTACTGATAAAATAAATATAACCCAATTTGGACTGAATTTCCAATATACAATGATAATATTTTAATAGCTATTGCTGTTTATATTTATTTTTACGAAAGTAAATATGAAAAACCCACGCATAATGTCGGTTCAAGTAGTAGTTACAATCCATAAGTATCTTATAAACCTAATAAAACTTTATAAAAATTTCAGATTTAAAAAGGGGTATTTTTGAAAATGGACATCTAAAAGGGTCATTTTTGAAAAGGGGCACACCAAAAGGGGTATTTTTAACAATTTCCCTATTTATATTTAAGTTCATACAATCATTTTAAAAAAATTCTTAATTTTATTTTCTACAATAAAAAATAAAAAAATATTTTAATTTGGAAAATTTTAAAAATAGTTTAATATAATATTTTAAAGAATATCATAAATATGTAATAAATCAAAAGATAAAGTTATAAATACTCTAATTTCATTTTTCAAAGCATAAATATTTAAAATATTTATAGCAAGTAGCAGGTTAAATGTAATGTATTATATGATAAAAATAGTTATGATCTTTATAACCGAAACCATGTTAAGATTATATGATGAGATGAGTTAAATAAGGTTTGACACTTCTAAATATTTAAAATTTTGATTCTATAAGTATATATGAAAATAATGAATGATGGATTGTGCACACAATTTTTTTATTGGAATTCTAAAATAAAAATATACGTATGCACGGGTTGAATTTAATCTTATTATATACCAAAATATGTTTATTATATACACAATTTTTTTCACTTACTACTAGCATATATCAAATACATACGTTTTATTTTTAACGAAACAACGTAAAAAACCGTAAAAATCGAACTGTAACTAAACCGAATTACATACGGTTTCTATATGGTTTCACTTTCTACAAAACGAAAAAAACGATACTAAAAGGGGCATTTTTTAAAATAGACATCTAAAAGGGGCATTTTTTGAAAAGGGGCACACCAAAAGGGGTATTTTTAACAATTTCCCTTTCTTTTAACCAAAAATAAGTTCAACAAAAATTTCGACTGAGTAACGAATAATAGATTGTGCACTCAATATTTTCATTAGGATTCTAAAATAAAAATATAGACTCCACGCACGGGTTGAATTTGGTATATTATATACTAAATATATGTTCATAACATATTCAATTACGCGAATAATTGGTAAATTCCATAGTTACCTCAAACAAATCTCTATTTCAACAACCAAAGAATTAGAAATTGAAAAAAGAATTTCCTAAATTAATTCGAAATAATAGCTAACTTTCTTAATTAATTAAAAATAATCTACGTTTTAGAATCGATTAATTTATAATATTTTTATTTTTGATCTAACTGAATTATATGCAATCTCATTTTGTGGTTGTTAATATAAATTAACTCATTGTTCAGACCATATTAATTTATTAAAATAATTTTATTTTCCGTTTTCATATCTTAAAAAAATATATCCATAATTGAGTATAATTAAAAAAAGAAAATATATTCATTCTAATATTATATATAGGGACTGACAAAAATCTAATTATATTTTTTCAATTACTATTATAATATATCACAACTTTATTCTAAAATATATAATATATTTTGTAATAAATAAAATTTAACCTGTACTGTAGTATGGGTGGTGATCTAGTGTTTATTTCTTAAAACAGAAAACCTTTGAATTAAAAATATATATCCCTAAGATCAACTGAATAAAATAATTAATGTGTTTAAAATAATTAATAGTTTGCAACTAATTAATTTTAATTTCTCTAAATTAGTTTCTTAATTGAGCCGATTTTTCTTGTTATAATGACACCGAAATATGACTTGCAAAGTTAAACAAAAATGGATGTATATATTTTGTATATAATATTATTTTCTATTTATTGTTCTCAAAAAATAGTTAGAAATATTTATAAATTCCAGTAGTTTTTTTGTTTCAACTAAATCTATTTTCTATATCAGAAAAATATGGAATATTAAAATTATATATATATATATATTGATGTTGAAAATTCGATTAGCATTTAATCTTGAATGTTATTTCTTTTTTTTGTTCTAGAGAAATCGTACTTAAAATATTGAGAGAGCAAATCTCGGAATATATTGAATCATTGTATGTTGTTATTTGTTTTTACGAAAATTAAGGCAATATCTGAATCAAAGATTTCCGGGTCAAAATCAATTAAAACCCGACCCAATTAGCTTGAGCAAATATGTACTTCAAAAATGTTAAGTAGATAAGTTTTTCTTCCAAAAATAGCGTTACATTTGAAATGTTCCATAAATAGCACTATAAACTTTAAATATATTTTTGGCAGAAAAATTTTGACGGGATTTTGTTTTGGCGGGAAAATATTAACGATGAATTTGTAATTTTTTGTATTTATTTATAATTATTTATTAATTTCAAAAATAAAAAATAAGGTGCTATTTTTGTCCAATAAACTTTTGAGTGCTATTCTTATGCCAAAAACTTGATTTTGGGCTATAAGAGGCAATTTCTTATTAATAAAACACACATAAATTAATTAGTACAATAAATTTAATTAGTACAATAAACTCAATTCAAAATAATAAAGCTTTGAAATCAAACATAGAGACTTCAAAATCTCTTTAATTTATTTTGAAATTGACAAATGTTAGAATTTGGATAGTTAAAAAGATAACTAGAAGAATTTTAGGTGTTAAATGAATTATTGCTGACGTTCATTTCACAAAAAAAAAATATTTTTTGTTCAGTGTTAAAACCAAATGAAACAAGTCTTTATTTCTAGAGTATAAAAGATGATGAATTTTGGTATGAAAAATAAAAATAATAATTAGTTTACTATAAGATAATTGATCCCAAATATTTTGGTGAAAAAAAAGAAACACTAAAAATCCTTATAGCCTATAAGAAAACAACATATACACATCAATATTTATTTTAATTCGCATTACCAAAAAAAAAATATTTATTTTAATTCAAAAGCAATTCTTTCATCCAAATAAAAAGTGTCACGTGGCCAGAGTTATATCTTCTTTCCCGATTCACATGTTGACAGAATTCAACACAAATTAATTCACATCAGCTTTTTTTTTTCAACTAACCATTGTAAAGATTCAACTACTTAATATAATTTTCCAACACACCATTGTACATATGGGGTTAGGGTTATGGTTAGAATTGTGTCATGGCCTATATATATAATAGAAGGGATCTTTATGCTAATGAAAACCCAACTCTTGCAATATTTTTCTCTCTTTCTAGATGAAAGTCTTTGGTTCCATAAAAAAAAAACGCTCTCTCCTCTCTCTTGAAAACCCTAGCCAATGGTTTTAGGTTTGAGGGAGAAGTACAACTTCATATGCGCGTGTGTGGCCTCTCCTTCCCAGTTTTACCTTATGTTCTTCAGCGTCGGTTGATGGGTCAGAGGGTGAAGCGGTGGTGAGCATCTTTCTTCTTCAGTGGTGTGAGGAGTGGTTTGGTCCATGGCTCATTGCTTGACCGTGGCTCTCCCACGGTGGCCAGAGAAACGGTTCCTTCGTTCTGCTGGTTAAGGACAACAGTAGACTGGATCTTGTTAAGGACAACATTATTTTATTATATTTTGGAAATTAATTATTTTCCTTTTTTTTTAGTTAAGGTTTTAGGAAAATCTTACTTTATAGTTTGTTATCTTTTCCTGCAAGTAATTTAGCTCTGCAAGTCATAATACAAGGTGACTCCTACAGAAAAAGAAAATCCTGATTCATGGTGGAAGAAGGCATTCTAGTACAAGGAGATGGCTCCTACCACATTTACATCAGAGAACAGATGACTGGAAATCATGTATATGAACGTGCAATGGAAACAGTAGTTTCTGAAATCAGCATACATATGCCTGCGAGTTGCCATATCTGTTTCGATGATGATTTCAAAGCTGAGCAGATGTTTTCGGTTCCTTATGCGGTCATCAATTCTGTATTGAGTGCGTGAAACGACATATAGAAGCGAGGCTACTCGAGGGACGTGTACCGAGATGTCCTGATTATCAATGCGAGTCTAAGCTAACTTTTAGAAGTTGTGCTAATCTTTTGACACCTAAACTAAAAGCGATGTGGGAACAAAGGATTGCAGATGAATTGATTTTTGTGGCAGGCATAATTTATTGCCCAAACCCGAGGTGCTCGGCTTTAATGTCGGTAACAGAGCTCTCTATATCTACTCAAGAAGCTGAAGTTAGGAGATGTTGTGTCAAATGCAGTGAACCCTTTTGCATCAACTGCAAAGTTCCATGGCATAGTGACTTGTCATGCGGTGATTACAAGAGATTGGGTCCGAAATCTACTCTAAATGATATAAAGCTAATAATTCTAGCAAATCAGAAATTGTGGCGTCAATGTAAAAAGTGCAACAACATGATAGAACGTTCGGAAGGATGCTCCAAATTAACTTGCAGCTCCAAATTAACTTGCAGGTTTTCATCACATTCTCTAGCTGTTATAACTTTTTAAAAATTTGATTATGTTTCTCGAGTAATAATTAATAACATTGTAATAGTGTTGATGTTTGATGGATAGGTGTGGATATTCGTTTTGTTACACATGTGGTACCGAATGGAAGCGAGGAGGTTGCACTCACCGAGCAAACTTGCATACATGCTATACTTTTATCTTACTTGTTATTACCGTTTTAATCATATAGTTCCTATATTTATGCTTAAAGTAGTTAAGTAATCAGTTTTTTACATTGTTCATGTTGCTAATGGATAAAACTCTGGAGGCTTTGGTTGCTTTTTCTACAATTCGTAGTTTATAGACTATTACTCCAATGAGTAAACGAAGTTGAATATAGAAAATTAAACTTTTATTGAAATTAGAAGGAAATCTCCATCAACATCAAGAGTTTGAAAAGCAATGAATCAAATCAGAAAAGGAAAAAACAAAATGACATGAGCTACATAACAAAGAAGCCGTCGACAATGAGAGATCTTTATTGTTGTAGAAGGTAGAAAATCTTCTTTCACTCTTCCTGAGCAAGAGGAACAGCTTGAGCCTGCAAGACAAATAAGTAGTTGTGAGATACTACTCCACCAGAGACAACACTAAGAAGGGTCTAATAAAGTGTGGACATATGAGAGAATGTATACCAGTGGGCGGTACTTCAATGCGTAGAACATCTCAAGGTACCGGCGACTCTCAAGACGGTCAAGGTTCGAGACATGTTTCCAGAAGCCGTAGACACCAGTCAATGTCAGGAGCCTCTCTGAGTAAATTTGCCATGTATATCTACAAAACCACACAAGAAGATGGTTAAATTTAAACTTTAAAAGAATGAATCTACAAGAGCAGACTTATAGTTTATACTTACTTCTCCTGGATCCTCTCAAGTCCTCCCAATGAAATCTGATCCCAATGAGATGGGTCATGCTTACACTTGGTGAAGAAATCAGCAAGCGTCTCAGCTGCCTGGTCACCATGGTATGGATCAATGTGGAAACCAGATTTTCCATGCACAATGATCTCAGCAGGACCACCATTGCAAGTAGCAAAAGTCGGTAACCCACTGGTCATAGCCTCAACAACAGTCAACCCAAAGGCTTCATAAAGAGCAGGCTGTACAAATGCACCTTTGGTGTCACATATGTAACGGTAAAGCTCGCCGTTTCTCACTCGGTTCATCTGTGAGGAGATCCATCGAAACTGCCCGTTAAGTTTGTATTCCTCAATCAGATCATACATTTTCTTCATCTCAGCCTTTTCTTCATTGTCCTGCGACTCTTTGCTCCTGTCTCCACCCACAACGACCAAGTTCACCAGTTCGCGCAGGCGAGTGTTCTTACCATACCACTCAACAAGACCTGATAAGTTCTTTACACGGTCAAGCCTAGCCATGGTGAAGAGGATTGGCTTCTTCTTGTCCTTTAGCACACATCTGTTTTCAAATATAAGCAGAAAGGTTAGGTTTTTTCCATAACCATCAAACATTCTTAAAAAAACAACATGAGTCATATAAAAAGCTTACAGGTGCTTTTCGTTCTCAACATCACTGTAGAGGAGCTCCTCAATCTCTTGATGGAATGCAGTTAATCTACGCTTCTCCTCAGTGTAGGCGAAGTATATGTTCATATCCGCACCAGGAGAGACAATGTTGAACTTGGGATCAAACACATCAATACCGTGAACCACACGATATAGCCCGGGAAGTGTGAAAGCTGTGTGACTCTCGTACTGACCAACAGTGTCCTTGCTGAAAACAAAAAACAGAGGTTACTTTAACTCGTATCTATGGAAGTTGTAGAAAATTGTTTTCTTGAGACTTAAGTCTTCTCTCTTTACCTTCCAGCAATTTCTTGGAAAGTACTTGTGATGATGAAATCTGTGTGGTTCATGGCGATAAGATCAGCAGTGAACTGGCAAGAGAAGTGATACTTCTCGTCAAGCTTCTTCCAGTAGATATCAGAATCCGGGTACTTAGTCTTCTCCAAAGCATGAGCAATGGTGCACTGTATGATAATAAACCAAAAAAAAATTAGCCTTAGAGAAAGACAAACACGTCTCAATGGCTATGGATAGAAACAAGAGACAAACCTGAGTGACACCAAGTTTGTGTGCTAACAAAGAGGCAACAAGATTACCATCACTATAGTTTCCAATGATAAGGTCAGGTTTCCCTTGTAACTCTTTCGAGATTTCAGCTGCAACATCCTGTGAAAACCAAGGCACCACATTCATATATTGAGTCAAATAAGGGTAATAATAAACAAGAGCCATGTTTGTAGGAAGAAATTGGATTTATACCTCGGTAAAAGTCTCTAGATATGGCCAGACCTCAAACCTTGAGATCCATTTGCGAACGATTCCTTTCTCTGTTCTAAAAGGTACACGGAGGATATCACAATACTGAGATCCGTACACTTTCTCTAGACGTTGACCACAAGTGGTTCCTGCTGCATCAGGAAGCAACCGAGTGATCTGTGACAACATATGAGAAGAGTTTTAGACATCTTCACATACACACACACACAAGAAGAATCATCAAAGCAGCAGAAAGTAAGCTTACAATTAGGATTCTCGGAGTGATGGTGAGTCCTTGTTGTTTGGTGCGTTGGAGCATCTCTGTTTCGAGAGCACGAACTTGATCAAGAATGTAAACAACCTGCAAGAAATTTGACAATTTTAAAGATCCATCGAGGAATGAAGAAAGAAGAACTCTTCAAAGTGTTTAGTTACTGACCTGACCACCAGTGTCAGGGTAACCAAGAACATTATCCTGAGCAAAGTATCCATGAGGAGAGAGGATCACAACGTTGAAAACCATTGGGATCCTTCCAAGGAAATTCCCAAGTGTGCAAGGGTCAGGTGCCTCGAGAAGGTCAAGAAGAAGACGAATCATGTCAAGTACACGCACCGCGGTGTCTCCCCAACCTCTCTCAAGACCAATCCCCTGGAACTTGTGGTCAAACTCCGAGTAGGGTGTCTCGGGTTTCAGCTCCATAAGATACTCCTCTGCTTTCCTCAGATTGTGTTGCAGTGTGTTTAGGTTCTGGATCCTGTCGTTAAGCATCAGAGTCTACACACACACCAAAGACAGAGTGATTAAAATTTTATTATTCAGACAAAAAATTGAAAGGAGAGTTGGTTGAGATCAAACCTTGCCCTCGTGGGAATGGAGGCGCAGGAACTTGAGCAGAGGATGCAAGCTCTCCTTGTCATGGAAGAGCTTAGCCGAGAGATGGCGATTGAGGAACTCAACCCCATTTCCAATGTACTTGTTGAGCGTGGGACGAGGGAATGCGGCGTTGAATGGTTCAAAGTCAAGCTCGAGAGTGAAGTTACCATTCCTACTGCAATATAGTCATGACATAAGTTGAGTAAAGGACTACAAGAAAGCGAGAGAGAAGAAAAGAAGAGGTGAAAAACTTACATTCCATCGACGAGCTCTTCCTTGAATTGAAGATATTCAGAAGCTTGAAGCTCGTCAACGACAAGATCATGGAGGTTAACTCTTACGTATTCCCAAACTCCAGGTCTTGGTCTCACAGCTAAAGCAACAAATGGTGGTAACACAATTGCTTCTTGAGCTGAACGGAGGATTTCGAAGAAAGCTCCACCTTGAAGCTTCTTTTGTGTCTCTAAAGGCATTGCCTCAAACTCAGCAATGATCTGGTGATATTGTAGAATGCCTTTGCCTTTGGCTTCAACCCTAAAAAGAGAAAGAAACAGAGTATTTAGGGTTTTTTTAGGTAATCTTACAAGACAAGATAGTTAGTTTAAAATGTTGTTGTGTAATACCTTGAGAGCAAAGCAAGGACTTCATTTTTCTGAGCAATAAGAGTAGCATCCAAACGCTCTCGCTGGCTGTGGACGCGCGTTATTACACGTTCCGCGTTTGCCATTTCAAACAAAATCAAAAAGCTTTTGAAACTGCAGAGAAAAAGAAGATGGAGAAAATTAAGAAATGTAATAAGATAATGGAGAGAGGTGAATCAATGCTTGCCTATATATAAGGAGAAATTGATTATGACTTATGAAAAAACAGTTAAAAAAAAGTAGAACAAAAAGGTCACATTTTTCTTAGTTTTTTATTCAATACAATCATACGAAAATATCTTAACTTTTTTACCAAAAAATATCTTAACTTTTTAAAGTTAAATGATTATTTTTATTTTCCAACATAAAATATTGAACGAATCATCTTTATCCAATTTAAGTTTCTTTAAACATTTGCATCCACTATCCATTTCAAAGCAGCGGTTTTAAGGCTTCTCAAATAATTAATGGAGGAAAAGATAAATCAAATCAACAAATAAAGTAATTCGACGAATTTTCATTTATAGCCAAAAAAAAATATAAAGATTTTGACATACAGCAAGAAAATTCCCTGCGAAAATATTCTTCTAAAAATTATAAGACGAGAAGAAACAGAACATACGTTGTTGGTTTTACTTTCTGACCAGTGAATTTTAAAATAGTGTTATCATTCAAAAATAAAAAAGAATTAACCTAAATTTTTTACTCTGATGAAATCAGTAAGCTATATTCTCTAATAAACGTTACAATGAAATTTAAGAAACTAAAAAAGGTAAGGTAAAATTAAATGTAAAAAAAGCAATTATAAAGTGAGCAAATCGAAAGCAGAAGAAGAAGGGAACCTGAAGTAGAGTAGAAAGAATGAGAATGAGAGGTAAAGTTGATCTCAATGACTGTGGAGGTTTTTCACTTCTCAAGAGATTAAGAATTTATAAAGAAATGGATTCTTGAAGAATGGTACTATTAATTATAATTAAATATTGACTAAAGTTAATACTTTTCTCTAATTGATTTGTCGTTATTTGCTTGGGCTCCAAACCTATAGAAAAACAGTGGGCAAGACTCGCATTTTAGGAAATATGATGGTTCGATACTTTATCTTATTACTTACTAGTTACTAATTATAATTCATTACTAATATGGAAATCAACAAGATAATTTGATATGGTTACCATTCTTCAAGATTTTCATAACTTGTTGGTTTAAAATGAAGTATATGGTTATCAAATTATCAATTTTCTTTCATTTTAAGGTTTCTAATGTTTCGCATATCATAACCATTTAGAGCATTACAATTTTCATAAACTAAACTAGACATATAAACATTATAATATCTCATTAAAATACATTAAAAGAAGTGATTACCTGAAAATGCTACGAAAAGTTACTGGCCAAGGAGGTCACTGGAAATAATTAGAAGTGAATGAAATAGAAAATGGTGATAATGCAAATTGTGAGAGAAGAATGAA